TAATACTATAGTGAGAGCTGCCCTTTTTATGAATCCCACAGTATGAGAAGAACAAAGATTAATTACCTAGGACTTAATGAACTTCTTTAATTGTGGTTAATGTTCTGCTTTCTAACAGACATGTGAGAAACCCATTCTTTCTTGTCTATCTCTAACCCTCAACTGAATAGGCTGTACTTGAACTAAGTGGAATAAAACACTCTTTAAATGGTATATTATTCTGACTGTCATCTTAGACTAAAAATATCCTATAAAATATCTTATAATAAGTTATAAACTAATATAATAAAACTATTTCTGGAAAAATATTTCCTGCTACCCCATGGCGCTTCCATGCAGACTGCAGCTGGACTATTTCATGCTTATTGACTCAGAGACGGGGGTTTCAACATAAAAAGATAGTGACAACAATAGCAAATTCTTGGCCTTGACGTTTCAAAAGCCAAGTTCAAGGATTAGTCATTACTTGGAAGAATATGCCATCTTTTAGAGTCCAGGTCTGGATCTGAGTGCAAAGGGACAGTGTGCCCTGCCCTCCCCACCCTCTGTTCTGATCCCAAGGCAATGTCCTAGAACCCCAGTAAGGGTCTAGATACCCCTGAACCTAGCAGGATGCAGGATCAGGGGAAATGCCCACATTAGGTGTCTGGGCAAAAGACTCAAAGACCATCTCACAGATTCCCATTATCTCCACAGTGTGTAACCCAACAGGTGGGTTTCTCTCACTTCGGTTAGGGAGAATAGACTTCCTGAGAGCTTAGGAGGAGACGAAAATTCACCATGAATGAGAATCTGGGATGAGAGACATGCGTGAACAATCTGCATGGACAGAGGACACACGGTTGAGGACCAGAAAGGTCAAATACATCTCAGCAGCTGGCAGCAGAGGCAGATGACAACAGAGGGCCAGGTTCCCCACCCTCCAAGCTTCACCCTGCCCTCCCCAACACAGTTCCAAGGAGAAGCTTATGCTTCTTCACAGACCAGAAGGGAATTTGTAAAAGAACCAAATTCAACTATGAATCATAAAAGGAGCTATTACTTGTACCGATTTTATAGTCAGAGATTCATAGTCAATTAATTTAATTAGTTTCCCTTTACATTTTGCATTGATCTTCCAACACCTAATGATATGTTCTACATATAGGGTGAACTCTATAACTATTTAACACAATGCATTTATTCACTTTGTTCTGTTTGTCCAACTGCCTGAGGACATAATTTCTCTTCCCATGCTCCAGTGGTTGCCACTAGCCACATGTGTCTGTTGAGGACACGAAATGGGCTAATCTGAATCGAGATGTGCTGTAAGTATAATACACACGTGAAATTTTGAAGACTGAGCATAAACAAGAAAGTAAAATATCACTAATAATTACTAACATTTCTGTAATTATTATACATTGATAGTATTTTGGACATATTCAGTTAAATAAAAATATATTATTAAACTGAATTTTACCTGTTTCTTTTTACTTTTAAAAAAAGTGCCTACTAGGAAATTAAAATTTTCTACTGTGACTAGCATTGTGTTCCTATTGGACAATACTCTCCTCTGTGCTCATTCATGTTGATCGCATTTACTTTCACCAGAGTGACCACCATCACTGCTTAATTTTTTCCATGTGGAAAATAATCAGAATTAGAATTTAATTTTTCCATTTGGACACTCAGTGATTATACGTCTAGCGTTTCCTGACAGGGTGTACTGAAAATTACATAGAAAAAAAAATGAGATGTCTTACATCTCATTTCCAGATACTTGGGAATGAGCGGTCAGTCTGTAATTTGCGCAAAACAAGGGAACAGATTTTCTTTTTAAAGTAATTAATACCTCTGATATTTACTTAAACATGATGGGTGACTAAACGGATACCATTAAGAAATTTTCACAAGCGAACTAGGTATCCAAACAATGAGAAAAAAATCTGAGTGTTTCAAATTTCATTAGATTTCTTTATCTAGTTCGTAATTTTATATATGTAGTGAGACTTTAAAAATAGGCTCCTCCGGCAGGATTTTATTTGCCCGGGGGCCCTGTGCTGAAGCAGAAGGGAACTGCAGGGACCCTGCACTAACCGGGGCGTGTCGCGCCGAGGGCCGCACCT